CCTTCTCTTTTAAAATATTATTTTTATAAATTAAATTTTAACATTTTAAATAAATTATTAATTAACTTAATATATTTATTCATCTTAAATCTAAGATATAAAATTCAAAAAATATATTTATCCTTGTTTTATTTTCTAATTATCAACCATTAATAAAATATTAACTTAAAATCTTAACTAATTATATCATAATATTTTCATATCAAATTTAAAACCATATATTAGTTATACAAAAATATCAAGATTATATAGTAAATTGTCAATAAAATTCTAGTTAAATAATTTAAAATAATTAATTTTTTAACTATATTGTTTGCAAATAATTTAATCCAAAGCTAATTAACTTTTTTCTATATTATTAGTAAAATTTAATAACTTTTAATTTAATAATTGGATCGATAAAATTCAACATATATACATCATGAGTTATTGAGCAGAGTAACTTTACTGAGAGTTACTTTGTGAGTCATTTGATTCCTCTTCATCCTCCTTTCTCTCTCTCTCTCTCTCTCTCTCTCTCTCTATATATATATATATATATATATATGATTTTTTTAAAAATTTTATTGATGATCTTTTTTTATATATGATTGTCAATTTTTTGTCAAAAATTCTTACATTTTCGACAAATATAAATTTGTCAAAAATATTTCATCAGTAATATAACTTTTCTTACGAATTTTTTTCCATAAGAAATATAAATTTTTTGATAGATTTATATTTTTCAAAAATTACCAACGGATAAATCCGTCGGAAATAAAAATACAAATTTTCTGACGCATTTATATCCGTAAAAAATTACTGACAGATATACCCGTCAGAAATATAAATTTTTTGATGGATTTGTATCCGTTAGAAATTATCCGTTGGAAATATAAATTTTCTGACAGATTTGTATCCATCAGAAATTATCAATGGATATATCCACTGGAAATATAAATTTTTTGACGAATTTGTAACCGTCAGAAATATAAATTTTCTGACGGATTTTTTTTTCTGTCGGTAAAATCTGTCAGAAATATAAATTTTCCCACAGATTTGTAAAACGTCCGAAATTATCCGTGGAAATTTGCATTTTTCTTGTAATGACTTTCTCTAAAATTATGCTCGTAAAAAGTATGATTTTGCACTTCCTAAGAACCCTATTTTATAACATTTGTAATGGGCTTTTAATCATGTACTCTTACTCAGTGCTCATATAGCTCACTCTCCTAGAGGTCTCTTTGACTTAACTCACTAAAGGTGCTCTAGTAGTTGCTTTGAATAATTTTTGCTCATTCAGAGCGAGCTGCTTACTCGCTTAAGTGAGCAATCACCATCTTCCAAGATATGCTTTTTGATTTGGTTCACTTTAAGCTAGATTCTGATCGTTTTGAGTGAATTTCACTCGTTTAGAGTGAGCTAACTTGATCTTCAAATGTAGTCTTTGACCGAACTTGCTCAAAGTGAGTGGTTGAACAATTTAAGTGAATTTGGCTCATCCAGAGTGCATCCATCACTTGATCTTAGAGCGATGATAATTTTTCTTTGAGATTTGTAACTTTCTAGTTATATTTTCTCTTTATCACATTTCAACAAAATTATATCCTAAAATAAAATAAATTCTTAACTAAGTATTTTATGATAAAAATAAGATTTGAATACATAAGATATATTTAATAATTGCTTAAATTGATTAAAATGTATATATATAACTTGGACTTTGGAATATTTGTAGATGGTTTCCACATTTTGTCTTCTTCATTTGGGTGTTGCCTTGCCAAAATCTTAGCCTATTGATATGATCAAGATTTACTGTTCAAACATACCACTATTTGTCTTTTTCATTGAGGTGATGTCTGTCAGAATCCGAGTCTTTCGGTACCATCCATATTTACTGTTCGAACATTTCATATTCACTAATATCAAACATCATTAGAGAAAAAAAAAAAATGTAACATCCTAATTTTGAAATGTAATAACATACTCATTCTTCCAAAGTTTGGGAGACAAAGATTAAAAAAAAAAAAAAAAAAACTTACAGAAAACCATTTTTCTAGCAGCTTAAATTTGGTTATTACTTTACTCTTTCTCAAATTTTCTTAAACCATAAAAATCAAATTATACAATTATTACTTTAGCGTTAATTTGCAGTAGAAGCTTTTGATCCATGTGGACCCCTCGGTATCCGTAGGTTTTTTGAGCTTTAAGAATTTCAGACTTCAAGCAGAAAAAGATATGCATGATTGTTTCCTTTCGGATGCAATATACTTTGCATAAATGCTTAGGTTGTATGAAAAATTAAATAATGTTGAAGTAAGTATAATACTTCGTATTGAAAATATAAGAATCTAAGAAATAGAAGGCAAACAACTCACATTATTCTATATGCGTGCGACCAAATGAGTTGCTTTCATGGATCAAAAAAATGAATTGCTTTCTCATTGTGGGAGAAAACATCGACCTCCCTTTTGTGATCACATTATATAAATTAACCAGTAATGATTGCCTACAATTTTGATAGCAAAATTTCAATCAGTTTATTACACTTATTCTGTTTAATTTTAATCATTTTGTATTTCTAAATTGGATATTTAATTAAGTGTCATAGAACTTAAGACATAAGTCCTTATAATTTTAATCATAATTAAAAAAATCTCATATTAATAAATTATGTGTATAGTGTACTTTATAAACTCATATTTGTTTCCTTGTTCTAATGATGTGAAACTCTTTATACTTTCAAAACTTTCATTATAGTATATTTATTTTACAAAGTTTTCGACAAGATTATTATATATTTTAATGATTCAATTAGATTTTTAGTCTTAAAAAATTATATTTTTAATATATAACATTTTTTTTTTAAAATAATTTCCTCATAAAATATTTTTTTGTTATTAAATGTTCATTTCCTTAAAACAATCACTTTTCATTGGTGGGAAATTATAATAATGATATCAAAATTTTAACTTAAAATTTCATGCATATTATTTCAACTCTTACTACTAAATTAGTTATAATAGTTTTTTTTAAATTATTTATCTCCATGTTGAGTTATCGTTTTCTCAAGTTTCTCATTTAATCATTTAAATATTGATATAGAGTAAATGAGTAACTGATGATATTTAAATAGATAAAAAAAAACTCACAATATTTAAAGAAACTTAATATGTGAAACAAAAACTACATAAGAAAAACATTTGGTAAAAATATGTTTTATGAAAATCTCATTTAAAAAATAAAATAAAATATCAAATAAATTATTACAATTTTTTTAGGGACTAAAATCTTAATAAATTTAATTAGAATATATATTTACAATGTGAAAATTGTTAATTAGGAATTGTCATAATGCTAAAATTGTTGAATTATGTATATAATTATTAAAGACGTATTTAAAATATTTTTTAATTGTTTGAGTAGTATTCCTAAATTAATTAAAATCATACTTTTTTTTACTAATTGAAAAAAAAGAGACTTAATTAAGCTTATTTAAACTTATTTGAACCATTTTACTTAAAGTTGGTTTGAGTGTGTGTGCATAGTTTTGTATATATCCATGGGTTACAAGCAATATGATTTTGGCTTCCAAAATTGGTTGTGTTTTGGAACCCCACCTCAAAGCACAATGTCAACGCGATGCTTTTTTTAATTGTTCGTTATCACGTTGGTCGTATGGAAATTTAGTTTTGTAATCTGCACATCAATTTGAATATAAATAATAAGTTAAAAAGTGAAAACTAATTAATATAAAGTTATTTTTTTATGCTTGTTAGACTCAAATTGACAAAAAAATATAATTAATTCTTATCCTGTTTTTTCGCAATCAACTCCTCTCAGTGTATCAAAAAGAATCTACTCTATAAAATCATCATAATTTGAAATCTCTAATAAAAATGTCAAGGTGGTTTTAGTTTTATTTTTGCTGCAAATTAATTGGCTCAAGCCAAAAGAGACAATATATTCATAAGAGTTTAATTGATTAGGTGCTTAATTAGTACATTTTTCAATCGGTTGTCATATTTTTGGGGGACTGGTTAAATTTCACTCCTATATATGTTTTGTACTATATTTCACAAACATATAGACAAGAATACCGTGTGATTGAGTTTCATGTTTTTTGTTGTTGTGTGTGCATAGAGAGATCGAGGGAAATGAATTAAAAGGAACTTGGTCTACATTTGAAGGGAGAGTAGGAAGAAAAAGCAAAGGAATTAGCATAAACTGATAAAGGAGAAAAGCACCAAAAGATGGATTCATGAAAGGGAAAGCATGAGAGAGGAACTTTGGCATGATGGGAAAAGCATGAGATATCTTACAAGTAATCCTGCCATGCCACGTGGATAACTTAATTGGTTCACATGGCCAAAGCTGGTCCCACGTGGGTCCCTCTTGGACTTAATTAGTTTCTTGTCCATGCATGCATGTGACATATATTGGTAAGGCAGATCTGAAACTAAACACATGCAACCAAGTTTGTTCTTTTCTTTGGCTAATTCTAGGACGATCATGAAATATACATGAACTACAGCATGAAGACATCCACATAATCCAAATCATACAAAAAGAAAACAACAAAGAGTCGTTATGATGCAATTTCTTAAGATGAGAGGACCATTGTCTTGTTGGTTTTATCCTTATTTTGGTTTGGGAAAAGATAATAAAGATATAATATAATAATAATAATAATAATAATAATAATAATAATAATAATAATAATAATAATAATAATAATAATAATAATAACAACATTGTCCTCTAAGGTGAGAAATTATAATCATTGGTTGAGAATTTATTATTTATGTGTGTATGCATTTAATTAAAATATAGCAAAGCGTCTTTTTTTTTTTTTTTTTGCCTTTTCAGATAATGGTTATAACTAGGGGAAACAAAAAAATGTTGTATCAAAGGATATATTTGGGTAAAACCTTACTATGGTTTGAAAATGGATAGTTATTAATTAATGGGATAAGAGCGGGTTGTAAGGAAACCGAACTGTAGGTAATCATATTTTAAAATTATTAAAATATTTTTAATTATTCATAAAATGTATTGGTCTAATTTACTTTTAATATAAATATATATATATATATATATATATATTTATTTATTTATTTATTTATTTTTTTGAAAATTTTACATATGAGTAAAATATGTTTTTGATTCCACAAAAATTTCTCAAATTAATTCAATTTTGGTCTCTAAATTTTTTTTTCTATTTTGATTCCTTTAATTTGGAAATGAACCTTTTTTTTTGTCTTTTTCAAATTGGTTTAGGCAAAATTGATACATTTTCAAATTAGAGGAACTAAAACACTTCAATTAATTTTCAAGGGACTGAAGCTAAATTTCAATAATTTTAAAGGGACTTCAAACATATTTTTTTTTTTATATTTTAATAAATACACACACTCTTTGTTTTTAAAAAAAAATTATATTTCAATAAATACACGCACATACAAATTTAGTGAATATTTAGTTATTCACTAAATAAATATTCATACTAAATGAGGTGAGGGAACTATTTGTTTCGTTACTATCCCTACCTAATTATAACTTCTCATTTTAAAGAATTATTATATATTCACTACTAAATATTCACATTAAATAAGGTGAGGGGTCTATTTGTCTCATTTAATTTCTTGTTTTTAGAGACTATACTTCTCTTACATACAATCTTATTTGAGTATTATAAGATAATTATTATAGGTGTCAAAGTTTTTCTTCTCTTACATACAATCTCAAGAGCTATGACAATCACGTTGAGTTTGGTAAAACTACGATGAGAATGCCTCAAAATTGCTAGAATGAACATCAATCTTAAAACCAATGTAAAAACTTTCATTTCAACCAATATTAAATAGTGGAGGTAAAAGCTTCCATGCATCCAAAATACATTATTACGCTCATATTCTCTTTACATAACAAAAGTTAATTCATACCAATTAGGTGAGTCAATGAACATATATAATTAAGTTAATTCGTACTATCAAGTAGGTAAATAAATCAACATAATTTACTTCATCTAAATCAGTAGTACTGAGTTCGAGATTTAACATACACGTATACTATTCAGAAGAATAATTTTAACGTCTATAATAATCATTATGCAAGAAACTTTCATATCACGGTTCTCACTAATAACCTAATCGTCCACGTGAACGAAAAAAAAAATTGAGCAAGTAAATAAAGCTTAGAGAATGATTGGAACCAAATGTGAAAGGGCCGTTTGTTCAGTTATGAACAGCCGCCGTAGTTGGTTTGCTAGAGATTCCTCACGTTAATGTCGGTTATTGTAATATCCTTCTTTGGAATATATAATAGCTAGCTATAGGCCCCAGAATCCAAGAAAGAACAAGCAAGAAGCATAGGATCAATGAGAAGAAAAGAGAAGAGAATTATAACATATATACAATATTATTTAAATATTGATTAAATAGGCATATTAATTCAAGCTTGATTGCAAAGATAAGAGGAATCCATCCATTTGATCGAAAAAAACAAATGAAAAGTACTTTAAAAAGCAAAAGAGATCAAAGGGTGACACATCTCCCTAATTTACTTTTTTTTTCTCCCAATCTTCTCTCTCATGTTCTCTTTTTGTCCTCTTTATCAAAACCCCAAGCAAGCCCCACATTCCACCCCTTCTCCTCTTCGTCTCTCATCTTGTTCCTGTGTTTGTCTCTCCCACTTTCTGCCTTTGGATCTTCTTCTTCCCTTAGGTCTTTGCTCTTTCTTCCCCTCCTCTTATAACTATGTATATATGCTTGTCATATATGTATAAAAAGAAGTTTATGCTGGTTAATTTTAATTTGCTAATATGCATGCTCTTATTCTTGAACCATTTTATGAATGACAGGGTTTGATTCGTAAAACTTGGTGATCATCAACTGGATTTGAAGCATTGTGCACTCATTGATATATATCTATATATCCCTATTTCCAAGTTGTTCAGATAACTAAGAGGAAGAAGGAGGACCAAATACATATATATACACATGACACCTGTTTTACCTCCCGGATTTAGGTTCCACCCTACTGACGAAGAACTTGTTGCTTATTACCTTAAAAGGAAGATTAATGGTCGAAAGATTGAGTTGGAGATCATACCGGAAGTTGATCTATATAAGTGTGAACCATGGGACTTGCCAGGTATATATATATGCTTACTTATACACAAACATATTTTCATTATTTATGTCGTGCATGGACATGCATCTCGTATTAATTTTTCTTCTAGCGAGTTTTTTATTATTATTATTATTATTTTTATCTCTACGAGAAATTAGATATATAAAATTTACTAAAGGTTTCATGGCTGCGTCTAAATTAGTTGATTTTAAAATTCGATCTTATTCCAATACACGAGCACCAGATGATATGTCTAGAATTAATTTGTTGTCTTTAGTCTTGAACTAATTTTAACATCATGAAGCGTAGTTTTGATAAAAATATCTCTATTATTATTCTTTTGTGTATATTTTTTTACTTGTAATTCCTTAATTATTGCATACAACTTAATAGAACCCAAATTACCATACCTTAAAAAAGTGAGCACGCGCTTTAGAAGCGATTTGCTTCTGATCTTTATTGAGTGAGGATGAAACACATACTTGCTTTCTTGGTCAAGTATATTTTCCTGCTTTATCCTAAAATATCTAATGTGATTTATGGTTGAAAGGACTGTACTTAAGAATTCTAAAGAGGATGGTCCCTTCACCTTTAGGGTTCCTATTGTGACCGTCAAGATTAGTAATGGGACAATAGTAGATTCCCAAGTCAAAAAGCGCAAACTAAAGAAAAGGATTACATTGTACACGATACAAAACATTTATACACGACTCCCATGCAATATACTTTGCGTTTCTTATTCTCTCATTGCTATTTGCTTTATCACGTTACGACTTTGAAATGAAAACGATGAAATATTATAGGAAAAAAAAATCAACATTAAAAACAATCAGCAGTCTGCAGTGAACCTTTTGCTAGCATATATATATATGTATAACCTCTCTCTCTCTTTTTAATTACAGGCAAATCATTGTTACCGGGAAAGGATTTGGAGTGGTATTTTTTTAGCCCTCGTGATAGGAAGTACCCAAATGGATCAAGAACAAACCGTGCAACGAAATCTGGATATTGGAAGGCGACAGGGAAGGATAGGAAAGTAAATTCACAGACACGGGCAGTGGGTATGAAGAAAACCCTAGTTTACTATCGAGGAAGAGCACCTCATGGCTCTCGTACTAATTGGGTTATGCATGAATATCGTCTTGATGAGAGAGAATGTGAAACTGCTTCAGGCTTGCAGGTATTCCACCTACTGGATTTCTTTTTTCTTTATTCATAATATAGTTATGTTATGTTTTTTTATTTTATTCTATTTGGTATTTAAAACTCCTTTCTATTAACTGTACATATACAATCAAACTCATATATATATAATACAGTATCAAGTAAAAATGCTAATGATATTAATTGTGTTAATCTTTGTGGAGTATCTCTGGATCAAATTGTACAATATAGACGTCTAATCCCTAAGCATGCTTTTCTTGCTGTACATATACAACTGATAAGACTTCAAGATATTTTTATATTCGAATTCTTCAAGTTGATATATGGCTATGGGAAAATGTAATTTCAGGATGCATATGCTCTTTGCCGTGTGTTCAAGAAGACTGCAGTGATTACTCCAAAAGTTGGAGGGCATTATGTTAATACTCCCAATGCCAACCAGATTACAGGCTATCAATCATCAAGCATTGAACTATATTCTGAAGGAAGGGGAGAAGATTTAGGTAGCTCAAATTATTCAATGCCGATGGATACATGCTCACCCCACAACGTGGGAAATGAGACTTCTCTCACTATCAGTGGTGGATCAAGGGATCATGGGAATTGGTCACACTTCTCATCAGAAGACCCATTATTTAGTCTTCCAACTTCTTCATTTCCTAATTTTGGAACCATGACATACCCTCCATCCAGGGTACGTACACATTTTTTTTTTTCTTTTACAAATATTTGAATATAAAGAAGAACTGAAATTTAAAGAACTTAAATACTAAAACCCCAATATTTCTATTGAATATAGAGATTAAAATCAAATAGTTTTTTTTTTTTAGGAAATACAAGTTATACAACTAAAAAAATACTTCTGGGGAAAAACATAATTAAGCTAATTTAATTATATGTTATCTTTTCTCTTATTTTAAATTGATTTGCAGGTGGATATAGCTCTAGAGTGTGCAAGGATGCAGCATAGGTTTACTATGCCTCCTTTGGAGGTTGATGACTTCCCTCAAGTTGGAATCTCAGAGCTGAAAATGACACAAGCCTCCGGTTCGATGCAAGGAAGCAGAACTGAAACGGATATCTTGCAGGAAATTCTTTCAGTTGCTCATGCTTCCCAAGAATTGATAAATCAATCTGGCTACTCGCATGAATGGGGTGGCAATGATAATTATGCTCCTCGTGAAGATGATTTTACATTCATGGTTGGCACCAATTACAATCATCTAAATGAAATGAGCTCAATGAGGTATGTTGACAAAACATGGGAAGATGCTAACACAAGGACAATAGAGATCGGAGATGTGGGTGAAGAATTTAAGGCAGAGAGGATGGTAGAGAATTTAAGATGGGTTGGAATGTCAAGAGAAGATTTAGAAAAGGTATAGTAATATTTATTTTGTTCAACTTTCTTTGGCGCATAAATATTAGCCCATATTTAAGATTTTATTTCAATGATAAAACTATAAAACTATATTTGATTATATATTAATCACCAACAAGTTTATATGATAGTTAATCTGACCAATTGGACGTACAGATGGAAGAACAAAAGGTTGTCCCAATAGAGGATATTTCAAGTTTCCAAACTAACAGGGAAGAAAATGAGGTGCAAGGTATATATATATACATATATTAAGAATCCCATGCATGATTTCTTTGCTAATTTTTATTTAATTTTTTGGTACATGAGATCATGTTTATGCAAACTTGTAATTATTAAGTAATTGTTGGATGATCAGAATCTGAGCAACATAGCAACAAGGAACACAATGACACTGAAATCAATGATTTCTCCTTGGGCTTCATCAATGATGATGATCCTAACGAGAACTTCATAGAAGAAGGCAACATGAATGATTATTCAAGTTTTCCAAGCTTTGAGGTCGTTGAGGAAACAAAAGTCAATCATGGAATGCTTGTTTCGACTGGTCAAGTAGCCAAGACATTCTTCCACCAAATAGTTCCTTCACAAACCATCCAAGTTCAACTCAATTCAGTGATGGCAAACAATCATTGTGTAGAGAATGCAGAGGCAATGCTAATGATAATGGAGAACCAAGGGTCTATATTGAGGAAGTTTAGGTCCTATGTTATGGGAAAGCTAACAAAGCCATCAAAAGCAATAGCAAGTGCTGTTGTATTTGTCTTTGCACTTGTGTTGATGCATTGTGCTTATTTGAAGGAAGAAGTGGAAATTTGGAATGAAACATATTGCAGCATAAAGAGAATGAGTCAGTCATCTGAGGTAATCAATTGGAATAAGTCAAATGAGGTTTGGTTTGTTGGTGTCAAAAGTGAGAAAGGATTAAGTGCAGTATTGAAGAAAATAGGCATTTTCCTCACTATATCTTTAGCTCTTTGTACCATGTGGGCTAACCAGAATATGATAGTTAACCCTTGATCTCCTAATTCATTTAATTTTGTCTCTAACTTAAGGAATTAGTTTGAGAAGGCTCAAATTGTGCTTCTCCCAGTTAAGTAGGAGGCTGATGTATCCCTATACCTGTAATATTTTACTTTAATTAGCATCACGTGTTATTTGATCTTAACTTAATTGTATTCAAATCTTTAGTTATTATGAATAGAATGTTTACCTTTAATTAATTCTTTTTTATTCTCTTAGTTTGATTTTAAGATTCATATTATAGTTAAATTGTCATGCATGTTTAGGTTATTTTGTTTTTAGCATGTATTAAATAAGTAGGGGAGTGTTTTTGTTTGTTTTTGTTCTGGTATGGAGATTATCATCGAAGAATTTTTGGTAAAGTAACCATTTAAGAGACCTAGTAATTATTTTAGCCTAGAATATCCAATAAATGTAACCTCTCTCATACTAAGCTCTCACCCCTAAATTAGGAGATCTTATCTTTATTGTTATGAAGAAGGATCTGTTTGTGTTGGTTTTTGCCTGGCACATAAATTGTCTATTCAAATGCCTCTAATTAATGTTTTAGACTTAAAGTCAGTCTTGTTTGAAACTCTTGTTAGTTTGGTTAAAACACAGCCTTAAAATTAGGCAAAAACCTAAATATCTAGTCATCATGGTTAATAAAAATTTATGGTCAACTAATTAAAAGTTAGTCGTCATTTTTATAAGGTGATTAATATAAAGTCACCAACTTAATATGTCGGCGATTTATGAATGGACGATGGTGTAAAACAAAAACTTTACATAACTAATGTATATACTTTTTTATCTTTAATTTAATTTAATGAGTTTAATTTTTAGTTATTTAATTTGATAAGATTGTAAATTTTTAAAATTGATTTGAATCTAAGAATAAATACCAATATTAGCCAGTTAGGAGATTATAAGAATCTCGTGATTGATCGATATACGGAGAACTGATTAGTTATTACTCCAATTATATCAAATCACAAAATAATTTTTCTTCTCATTATCAGGAAGAAAGACAACAATTCCACTGAGAAATTCAAGCGATTTGATTAACAGAGTAAATACCATTTCTATACTTGATCGATTGTTGTATTAATTGAATAAAATTTTGCAGTCAATTACAATGATTCAAATATTTATCTAAATCTATATTCTTATAATAAACTGAAATCACAGTATAAACTGAACTGAAATCACAGTATACATCCTTTCAAAACTTTCAATAATTTTGTTTAATAAACTTCTAATAACTTCCCCTTCAATAAATTTGAGCTAAATACTTATTTTCTTCAATAATTTTATCCTAAATATTTATATATATAAATATTTTTATAAAATAAACTCTGCTAAAATATATTAAAATAAAAATGGATATTATATAATATTTATATATTATATCAAAACAAATATATCAAAATAAAAGGAAAAATTTAGATAAAAATATTTTAATAATTACTAATCATTATTAGATTTTTGTAATATTATAAAATAAAATGCTACTGAAAATAATTAAAAAATACATATCAAAATAAAAGGAAAATTGAATAAAAATATTTTAATAATTATTGATAATTATTATATTTCTATAATATTATAAAATAAAAATATACTAAAAATAATTAAAAAAATTAACATATCAAATAAAAGGTAAAATTTAGATAAAAATGTTTTAATAATTACTGATCGTTATTATATTTTTGCAATATTATAAGATAAAATTGTTACGGAGAATAATTAAAAGAACAAATATATCAAAACAAATATATCAAAATAAAAGTTAAAATTTGGATTAAAAATATTTTAATGATTACTAATTATTATTAGATTTTCACAATATTATAAAATAGGCTTAAATATGTTCAAACTATCTCCAATTAACTCGATTTTCATATTACTACCTATTAATTTTTTTTTGTTTAAATTACCTGACTAATTTTTTTCTTTCAATTTAGTACATGATGTTAGTCTCTCTCTATTAAATGATGATGTGGCTGACGAATTTCCATGTCATCACTTAACAATGTATTCAACTAAATGTACATGTCACTTGCCACGTCATTGTCCACGTTAATTTTTAAATTTTCAAAAAATTTTGTTTCACGCATATTTTTCAACTTGACGAACTCAAAAATTGATGTTCGAAAATTGTTCCTTTTGTGTTCTTGAAAATGTTGAAGTTGTAATTCCGCATCATTTTTATTTGGGAAACAAATTTTTTTTGAAAATTTAAAAACTCGCGTGGACAATGACTTGGCGAGTGAGGTGTACATCTAGCTGACATGACTTGGGTAATGACGTGGTTGACAGACTATCACGTCTTCATTTAATAGAAGGAGACTAAAGTCAAGTACTAAATTGAAAAAAAAATTAGCCAGGTAATTTAAACAAAAGAAATTGAATAGGTAGTAATCTGAAAATCGAGTTAATTGGTGGTAGTTTGAACATATTTAAGCCTATAAAATATATCAAATTATTATTATTTTATTAAAATATTTAAAAAAACAAAAATCATTATTAAAATATCAAAACAAATAAATCAAAGTAAAAAGAAAATTTTGAATAAAAACATTTTAATAATTTTTCATTATTATTATATTTCTGCAATATTATTGTTAAATCATTAATCGATATATAAAAGTTGTAACAATAAATTAATGTTATGATTGAATAAAAAAATATTATAATTGTTATTAAAATGAATAATTAGAGTATTAACTGGTTAATAAAATATTAAATGTTAATAAATCAAAATTTAAAATTTTAATAAATAATTTGACAAATAAACGATAGTCTATATAATTATAATCATTAAATCAAAACCGACATTAATAAATATTAAAATTCTTAAATGGTTTAAATCATTAAAAAAAATTAAAACGCTTTCATTCACCAATTCTTAAATCACTTGAATAATTTCTAATCAAAAAATATTATGATATTAATAAAAAAAAATATTAAGTTATTAATTAACATTAATAAAAAAAATATATAGTATTATTTTAATATGCCTCATTTTCCATCTCAATATCAAGTTTTTTTTTTGTTATTTTGACCCTTTTTTATTTGAAATGTTACACTATTAAATATTATTTTTTTCTTTTTCAACATATCTATTTTTTTTTGACATATTATATAGTATTTATATATTGCATAACTAATATTTATTTTAGAATAATTTTTAATAATATCGATTAGAATATTAGTTACGACAGCGATCTAGTGATGAAAATCTTTTTAAGTCTCGGTGTTTCATTTTAGAATGTTAGAATATAAAATCTTGATTTAGTTTCAGGCTTTCAGCATCCCAAGTGAAATTAAACATTGCTCCATTTTCGTTTTAAATTTCCTCGCACAGCATTTTATTGATCACATAAAACAGTTGTTATTATGCAGCAATAGCAGAGCTTCTTCGTTCAATGAATAACAAAAAAAATAAAGATAAATATAAGGTATATACATAAGAGAAAGATCAATATCCACTGTGACAAGTTGCATCGTACTAATTGACCAGCTTCGTGGTTGAGATATTAGTTTCCAAATAACCTGAAAAGGAAGCAAGTAATTTTTTAGTATAAATACACAACTAAGAATCATGAGTTAATTCAGGACTATAAAATTAAGCTAACCTTTGCAATTTGGACTGTGAACGTCTGATGCAGCAAACCAAGAAGGAAAAAGAAAAAAAAAATGTTAGCATGGATCAAAAAATGGAAAACTATTTTCTTAACTGCACAAAGGTGCATGCTAACAAAGAAACAATCAAGTAATAATTTGAAGGATTTAAAGTAAGACATAGATACAAAAATTAACTTCAATAGTTTTTCCCTTCACAGAGATGAAAAATGATTTATTGGTTGAGTAACACACCTCGTGCTGTGCGATTTGAGACTCGGTTGCTTGCTTACTGGTTGTTGAGGTTCATCAGTGGGAACAGTTACGGTCTTAACCTGTAACATTTACATATCAAAAGGGTTTACCTCTTCAGAAACTCATAACACAATTAATGATGAAGGTGTCTAAAAATATTGGCTTACCAAATTCTTGAATATAAGATTATAGAACATCTGAATGTATCTCTGCTTTGCCTCTTTTTGCTCCTTATTCACTTGCCTCCAAAAGGTATAAATATTCCCCATGTTTACCAACTTGTTTGCATAAATCTTCCAGGTATAGCTATAAGGACAAAGACATGAAATCAGTTTGAAATTAATTTCTCATTCATGCACAAAGACAAAACTTAGATACAATGTCATGATAGTATTGTTCTCATATAAAAATTGGAATTTTACCGACGCATATCACTAAGATAAATTTTAATTCTAGTTGGAGATCAGCATCAACAATATTTGTGATGTTGTATCTAAGTTTTATCCCACAATAAAAGGGAATGTTACTACTCAAAGATGTAACATAAAAGCTGTATAATAACTGTACTAGTTAGAAGCTAAGGAGATGATCTGATATGATAAGTTGGTTACCATTCATTTATGCGCTGCAATCCAGCTGCAGAAAACACATTCCAATGTGATGGATCCACTTTGCATTTTTCAAAGAAATCAGCAATTTTGTTGCTTGATTCATCTCCATTGAGGGGGTCAATGTGGAAGCCAGAGACCCCATCAACAATAATTTCTGCTGGACCTCCTTGGTTGGTGGCAAAAGTGGGCAAGCCACAGTTCATTGCTTCAATGACAGTTAATCCAAATGCTTCATACAAAGCAGGCTGCACAAAGGCTCCCCTTGTGTCAGCAATGCAACGGTAGAGCTCTCCATTGCGGTATCTATTAGTCTGTGCAGCAATCCATCTAAATTGACCCTTCAGTTGGTACTTATCAATTAAGTCATGCATCTTCTTTATTTCTGCCATTTCCTCCCTATCTTTTGATTTTGAAGGGTCAAAGAAGCCCCCTACTATGACGAGGTTCACCAAATTTCTCAGTCTCTTGTTCTTGCCATAGCATTCCACTAAACCGCTTAAGTTCTTAACAACATCAAGCCTTGCCATTGAGAAGATGATTGGCTTCCTCCTCTCAGATAGATATCCACTGTTTCCATAACAATGTTAGAAGTGAAAGTCATTCATTAGGAAGAATGTGGTAAGTCATAACTGAATGCTACAATGCAAGAGTCAAGAGTGTATCACTTACATATGCTCATTGTTATCCCCTTTACTAAAGAGGAGGTCCTCAAT